CGAACACGAGGAAGAACATCAGTCCGAACTGTTTGGTCACTCCATCGTTGAGCGCGTCGCGATGCATCTCTAACAGGGCATGCAGACCGAGCGACTGGAAGACCAGGAAGATCACCGCAATGCCTGTCGCGGCGTAAAGCCAGCGTCGAAAGGGAACCTGGCGTTCTCGCCGAACATTGGCAACCGCCATATGCATCGCGAAGCCAACACCAAACATGCTGAGCGTACTGACAATCAAGCTCGGCGGAAACGAGCCAATCGAGATTGCCGGAGCATCCGAAGCAAATCGGATTATTCCATAAGCGGCGATGCTTGCGAGAAAGAACATCGTCAGCGAGGCGATGAATAAAGCAAAGCCGAATTTGGCCTGATATTCATCGCGACGCATGGTGACCGATGAGAAAGAAGACCTGAGCATCGCAGGAGACGTCTTGCCGATGAAGCGTGACTGACTTCATCGGCTTGTAAAAGGAACTAAGGCGTTTCGGTTGCGGTGACTACCGTGGTGTTTTCGTAGAACTCCTTGATCTGCGGCTGATACTGTTCCGAGTCGAGCAATGTAATGCTGAAGAACAGGGCCACGAATCCGAGGCAGAACAGGAAGAACAACACGTTGATCGGTTTGTCGTACCGCAAGTGCATGAAGTAGGTCGCGACGAGGCCAGCCTTGATGGTGGCGATCGCAAGGGCAATCCAAATATCGATCTCACCAAGGTGTTGATCGGCCAGGAAGACCGTCAGCCCGGTGAAGAACAGCAATGCCACGAACGTTCCGAGTAAGATCGGAATCGGCATGACGTGGGCTGAGCCATGTTCGTGATCGTCGGAATGATTGGTCGATGGATCGGACATATCAAAAATCCCCGTGGGGTTTAGGAGCGAATGAGGTAGAGCAGCGGGAACAAGTAAATCCAGATCAAGTCGACCAAGTGCCAGTAGAGCCCGACGTAGTCAACAGGACCAAAGTATTCGCTGCTGAAGTCACCGCGAATCGATCGATATAACAGCCAGCCGATAGCTCCCATTCCAAAGAGGATGTGAAAACCATGCAGGCCGGTCATCATGTAATAGATGCCAAAGAAGATTTGCGTGTTGCGTGGAGCATCGACGAACTGTTCCGGACCAGCATGCCCGTGCCCGTGCGAGTCGCCATGCGAGGCATGCGAATCGACATGCTCTTCGGGATGATCGTCTTCGTGCTCGGCTTCGGCGACAGCGTGTTCCGCTTCTTCCTTGTACTCTTCCGCTTCTTTCTTCTGAGCGGCGAGCACCTCTTCATGCACTTCCTGATAANNTTGCCGGTGTACAAACCGATGTCGAACTTATGGGTGTACTCGAAGTACTTAATCACTAAGAAGACGCCAGCCAATGCGAGCGTTACGCTGAGCATCGCCACGAGCAGCTTCTTCTGCGAAAGCTGAGCCGCACGAACAGCCCAAGCCATCGACAAGCTGCTGACGATAAGCACAACCGTATTGATTGCACCCATCGTGGTGTCCAACTGCTTATGAGCGTACAGGAACACTTCTGGATGGTTGTACCGGTAAATGAGGTACGCA